ATTGATTTGACAAATGCAGCCCACTCTGGATAAATACCGTCAGATAATATCCCATGTTATAGTTGGACCCATTAATTATAAATTGAACAGTAGGTGCTCTTCCTTGGAGTACTTCAGTGAACAATGGTGACTGGTCTAGTACGTTGAGATCATTGTTTGAACCAGCAACACCAAAAAAGACATGCCAAATCCATAGGTCAGCAGAGGCTACAACTTCTAGCATGATAGTTGGGACTCCATAATCACCGCGTGTGAATTGCCCTTTCCATGCGACTGGACAATTTTGCCACTCCCAATGCATACAATCAAGACTGCCCAATATTCCGGGAAATCCATGTGCCTCTCCAAATTGTAGTAAACGTTGAATATCATCTTGAGTAGGCCTACAGAGGTATTGTTGGCCAAATATGTACCTCACACCTTGTACAAAATTTATCATGCATTCCATTGCTGTTGTTTCTGCTACCCCAAAACATTCATCCATAAGGTCAGCTGGTGTACCATATGCCAACATTCGAATGGCAGCTGTTGTCGCATAACCGACCAATTTATAAGAGTACAAGTACAATGGCAGCCCGCAAGCGGTCGCACTGTCATACTTGAACCCATATAAACCCGGTAGTCCGTCGAGTACCAAGACGGGTCTCGATAAACAATTTACAACAACCAAGATCGTACATGATTCAACATACATGCCACATATTACATAAAGTTCACAGATACATTTCATCATCAGAGTACGAATAAAAGTTATTACAAACCGAGTTTGATAGATAAAAGCGGAAGCAAATTAAGTTTGAAGGTAAAGTTTCCAACATAGTTTAGTACAGTGCCAAAATACGATCACGGTCCACAAAAGCATGTAGAAGGATTAATAAGAAGCCTGCCCAAGGCTTACTCCTCATCCACGGCGGGATAGAAGCAACTCTTGCAATAACCATGATACACAGTGCCATCTGCAACATGGGAAATAAAACCCTGAGTACGAGAAGGTACTTAGCTAGACTTACCCGTCATAAACCAGAAATAAAATGACTCCAAGGATTATGCAAGGCTGTATAAGTGGAGATAGCTTGACAACATTTTGCATAAAAGCAATTGACTTATTGTACAATTTGGATTCCTTTATCAATTATTTATAACTATCCATCTCTAGATTAGCAACTATCTTGTGCCAAACATGTGGTATATCCATTTAAAAGCATACAATAGTAACCATAGCAGGTATTGTAATTCCATATTCATTCGAACCATCATGTTCCATAACACAGTTACTACGATGTTGGGACTAGCCAAGTTTCTCACTATCCGGGAGAGACGGCGATTCGAATCGATTTCAACCAGCTGGGAATTTATTCCTAACACAAACCCAGGTCTACCAGCCACGATAGCCTTAGGTCACCTTTGGTACAACTCAGGTACACATTTCGCGGGTCCGTACCGCGCCGCACAATCTAGAACACCAGATGCCAGGACGTTTAGGCCTAGCCTGCCCTTGGGCTCAGTCTGATCGTTCCCCGGAAGGAGCGCACAACAGAACGGGTCCCAGCCTGAGTTGAATTACTCGGCTTCGCGGTCGGAACGAGTTATCCGGCCAGCTAAGTGAGAGGCATGCGTTCAATCTTGTCAGAAGCGCCAACAACGGTACGGTCCTTAATCGACATAGACAGGGATAGATCCACACCCAAGACCTCCATATCTTGTTGCTTCTCTATCGACATCCCGCCCGGTCTCCATTTACATTAACCATGGTTCTTTTCCATGATAGCAATCATAACCAACCGTGTTCCGGTATCCACCTATATCTCGCAGGTGATAGGAAATCACCTGACTTTTACCGGTCTAAGCATGGCTAAGCATATATTCGATCCTAGACCTATACCGGTTAAAGGTGTAATAGCTAGACAAGGAATGTATATGCATCAAGTGGTTCCATTCAACTCTTATACCTAATGCATCAATCATAAGTACTTAAGTAATCATTTGTAAAATACTGGGAGACTTAGAATGCTACTGGGCTTGCCTCGCAGAAAGGAAGTAGGGCGGTGATCAAGGCACTCCGGAAGCTCTTCAGGATTCTGCTCCTCGCCTTCGGGAGCTGCGGCTTGAGGATTCTCCTGTTGGTCCCCTTCCTCTGCTTCGTCGAATTCCAGCAACGTTATTTCTTCCTCCGATCCTAGATGCATGAATATGGTATAAGTATTATGAATGCATATAGGTTATCAAGTGCATCATGTTTATTGAGTAGGTGCATATCTCTTCTCGATTATTTAATTACTACTTCCACGATGCATCTACTATATCACAAAACATCAGCTACTTGTTTTACTCATAACAGGAGTTCTACTAATCCAAATGCAGTGATCCTAGACTTTCTGGAAAGCTTATCAAATTATCTACAACTTTGTTATTAACCATTTTTATAGCAAACATCATCCCTATCATGTATATTAGCAAACTCTAGAATATGTTCGGAAACTATTCCAATTCGCATTATAAAGTAACAATACTTCTACTTCATATAAGTATTCAAACTTTTACAACCAAAAGTCTACCAACAGTTTAAGCATACCAAATACACCCAAGAAAACATAATGGTGAAGCCCAAACTATTTATTTAAAAGCCTTTATTATTTTATTTGGACACATAGGTTAAATAATAAACCTATATCAAATGTGCATCATAAATTGTCAAAAAATTATAGTGGCTTACTAGTGCTACCAATAGACTACTGTAAAAATTTCATGCCATTTTGCCAAGTAAAACATCCTATACGAAAATGACAAGGCAGCAAGGCTTGAATTAGCATAATTAGGAAACCCTAGTGAAAAGTGTCAAGCAACAGATTTCCTATTTTTCTTAGCATCCATATACTACTAGGATAACCTCCAACAAATTTCATGAATATTGGATTCCTAAATAATTTATAAAAATTCACACAAGGATCTCCTAATTATAAAAGAAAAATCTATAACTACAAATCTACACATGAACTGATCCTCAAATTTTTACCAGAGTTCATACATGACAAGAATAGTTTACCGCAAAAATTTCATAATTTTTGGAGCACAGGAACTCTAGGTATAAAATAAACAAATTTGCATGCATTCAAAAACACATTTCAAATCTCTATTTAAATCTTCCAAAAATTCTACTGTAAGTGTCAAAATCATATTTTTCTTAAATACTACACTTTCTAAGGAACATAACCAAATTTATTTCACAATTTTTGAAGCTACCAAACTGGAGATCTAGAAATTACAAAACACACACAAAATCTGGAATATTTGAACTATTCTATCTCCTACTGTCGCTGACAGCCGGGCCCCATTTGCCAGTTGGACCCACACGTCAGCGACGCGAAAACAGAGCAGCGGCGCTTGCGCAAGCTTGCTCGGCCACGGCTCGTCGACGGCAGGTTCGCCGGCGGTGAGGTCTTCACAGTACGACCTACTCGGCCAGGCGCAACTTTTGCACTACTTGGCCGGCCCTATCATCGACGCTAGTGACGATGGTGGCGGCCATGGCGGCTCGGCGAGGCGGGACGACGTCGGTACGCCAGTGACTACCTCAGCGGCGCGACCTAAAGCTCGGACGAGCATCGCTGGACTACAAGGAACCTACTGTGCGCGCTCTCGTGGCCTGCAGTGGTCGGGTTAGGTGGGACCACGGCGACGAAGGGTGGCGGCGGAGCTCCGGTGAGGTGTTGCGCACTGTGGTGGCTTACCAAGCTGGAACAGCGGGCAATGGGGGACGCCGGGAGTCACTGGGGTGACGGCGGTGCCGCTGTGGTGACGAATGGGCAGCTCAGCGAGGCTTGGCGCGACTATGGCGACGGCGGAGGCGGGGAAGAGCTTGGCTGCTGCTGCGGCGAGGAAATGAAAATGGTGAGCACGGGAGGGAGCGGGCGAGTGCGGGGGTGCTAAAGCCACGCTCTGGCTCGTCACTGCCGCGCTGGGCAGAACACCGGCGATGCACGGCCAATACCCGCGCCACGCGGCGGCCAGCGCCTGATGGCGGTCGGCCACTGAATCAACCGATTCAGTCGGTCAATGGCGCAAACTGAGCCTGACGACGTGACTTCGAGTTGGAATAGCCGTCGATACAGGGTGATTCAGTGAATGACTCTTAAACGAAAATTGTAGCCCTAAGTACCATCTCCACTTCTTGTTTAGAACTCACGCCCAAACTCTCAACTAATCTCGAGTTAGATCATCCCAAAGATCGGCTGTCAGTCTGTCAGTGAACAAGACTCAAAGAAATTTTGTTAAGTGTTGAAAAGTTGGTTTTGCTAATTCTTGTGATCTCAATTCAAGCATGTTAGGAGCTAAATCAGTCAATGACCCAAAAATAAAAGTTGTTCCTTATGTCAAATACTACAACTTTGCTTTAGTGATCTCCTCCATGCAAGGTCTCTAACACCTCGTTCAAATTTGGTCAAACATGTCACTTTTAAATGATGATACACATCAAAGCATGGCTTAATGACCTATTTACCCCTAACCATGAATATCCAAGTTGTTCATAATGATACTCTAAACATGTTTAAGCAATTTGCAAGGTCATTCAATCATTTCATGTAGTAGTCACTCATAGAGCTAGTTAGTGTAATCACATGAAAGCTTAAGTGTTGGTTCATGAAATGTGACCATGAACTAAGTCCTATTTGCTAACCTAGGTGTTGCTACATGTTTGTGTGACTCACATCCACCAAGTACATGTGTACACTCATGATCATATGCATAGATACATGGAGACATGAAATAACGAGAAAAGTTGCATATGTTTAAGAAACATGCAATAACAAGCAAACGTTGCAGATGTTTCAATCCAATGTTTCAATGGTAAATGCTTGTTTATGAATGCTTGATGATCATGCTCATGTTATGCAAGTCAAGTTATGCAAGGCTAACGCCCGAGGTGTTACAGCTGTGCATTTTTGGAGTGGTGATAGACCCACCTTCCCAAATGCTTCACACCTTAGACGAAAATAAGGAGACTAGACACCAAGAGCTTCAACAATGCGCAAAAATAGTTGTTTTCTCATGTGAAATCTCTGGCGAAATTGGCCATTTGTGTATAGAGGATTGTCGCAAAAATATTTAGCAAACAATCTGTTATGATCCTCTTCATGATCTCTATCAATGTACCTTCGTGTATAGCCTCGACGTCGAGTTGAGGAACCAGTTAACTCTTGTTCTAGCTCTTTTTCAACCTCCCTTCCAATCTTAGCATCGATCTCAGCCTCCATAGGGTCATTGATTTCTTCCCACATCATCTCTGCAAGATTAACACTGGTGGTTGAATCATCTGAATGGTTGGATTCATCTTGAGACTCACTGGACATTTTTTTTTTGCAAAATGGTGGATTCCTGGATGAGGGGAATTATAAGTGGGCAGTGGGATTGGGAGTGGTGTATTCCTGAGTGGGGGGGGGATGAAGTGTGCACTGAGAGTGTGAATGGTGTCTACCTGGACTACATCTAAATTTATAGGATACCTTACACATTGTCCTGTTGGAAGAATTCCAACAGCTATATTTTCCTTTTGGCGGCATTCTAACAGCTTTATTTTCATGTTGGCTGCATTCCAACGACTATATTTCCCTGTTGCCAGCATTTTAACAGCTATGTTTTCCTGTTGGCTGCATTCTAGCAGATATGTTTTCAAATTGACAGTACACCAACGACTAGAATAACACACAATCAGCATAAAGCTTCAAATTGACAAATACAATGACCAGTACATAGCTTAATGAAGCAGGGATACAAGATAAACATGAAATTGACAAAGTACAATGGCCACTACATAGCTTAACGACTAGCGCATTAACCCGACAGAGAGTTTATGATCCTTTATTCTTCGCCAAATTCTTTAGCCAGCTTGTTCAACATGGCTTCATGCCTCTGCAGTTTTTTTTCACTGTAATTCGTAGTATCTTTCCCTTCCAATTTGACGTACAGCTGCCATTTTTTCATCCTTGTTTCTTCATTTTTTGCTGCTGAGTATTTGGTTTGTGCTTCAACTATTTTCAGCAATGCCTCAGCTCTAATTTTGATTGCTTCATTGTACAAGACCATGTTTTGTGATGGCTGGTTCCCTAAAGGAGAAGATGCACTACATTTCCCTTTTCCTCTTAGTCTCTCTTTTGCTTTCTTTTGCCCCTCAGGGCGCCTCTCTTTGCTTATTGTTTCTTCTTCAGTCTCTTGGTTTGATGATGATGTGTAAGCTCCTGACGCAGAAATTTTGGTTCTCTTATTCTTGGCTAATTCCTTAATGACGACTCTCTTCCATTTTGGTTGGTCTCTCAGCTCCTTCCACAAATATTTTAGGGTGAATTGTTTATCACTTGATTGACTCTTGTACCATTCATGAGCTTTGTCCTTAATCATGTCATCTGAGTGTCCACTGGTGTAGGTGCTTTTAACTTGAGCATAAACCCCACAGAACTTTGTAACGTCTTTCTTAACACCTAACCAATGCGACTTCAATTGCTTGACTGTCCTCTTGTGGCTATTTGTAGGCCGGTTGTTGTTGAACTCATTAGCTACATCTCTCCAATAATACCCGCCCTTCTTGTCATTTCCCTCAACAGAGTCAACTGAGTTATTCAACCAAGCATGAGCCAATCTTGTGTTTTCTTCTTCAGACCAATTAATGCGTGGAGCTCTCTTCCCTCCCTCTTCGCTGCTATCACTTGTCTCTTCGATTGTAATTGGCTGCTTCTGTTGCTGATCTGTAGGTTGAGGAATGGATGAATGTGACCCATGGGAAGAAGTGTTTGTAGCAGCTCCACCAGAGGTGCCATGTTGTGCCACAAAGGGTGCTCTGTTGCTTGCAGCTCCAAACTCCTGATTTGGTGAGTGAACCAAATTTTGTTGCAGCGTAAACCTTGTAGCCAACTTGTTCGTCGTTGAACACCATGAAAAGGTAGAGCAGGATCATATGGTGGGTAGTTGCTTGGGCTACCAAAGGGGTAGAAGTTATAAAAAAATTGTGGGTTGAAGCTTTGGGGAAACTAAGATTGGCAAAAACTGTTGGAAAATTGTTTGGGAGGGGAGCTATGGTTTAAATCTTCTGGGAAGTTTGGAGATACTTGATTTGTAAGGTTTGAAAAATTTATGTTGGAGATGTTGGAGGGATCCATCTCTAGGTGTAGTGAGTTATCGGAATTTGAGATATTTGGACATACAATCTGATGAGCCTTCTCTCTTATATAGGCGTTGGCATCAGGGGAGAGTGGGATGCTGTGCTGTTCAGGCAACGGCCACCTCCCAACGGCTCGCTGGAAGTAGCCAACCGTTATCTATTTTTTATTCTTTTATGTACAGTGTCATCAAAAAGTATTCTTATTTATTTTATCTGGCCGGTCCATAGCGGTATGACCTGCTTTTGCCATTAATACCATGAAGACTGCTTGAACAGTGTATAAAGTCAGGCTATAGTGCCGTATTAAATGCATAAGGACTGCTTTTATGCTCCGTTGTGGCTGCCCTAAGTAGACCTACAATAGCAGAGGTCAAAAGATAATAATGAAGTAACAGATGATGTGACCCACACTAGTCTATGCTGATAGAGGCCATGTTTAGATTGTCTCAAAATTTCAAGTTTTTTCACTCTCTTTCCATCACATTAATTTTTGGACACATGTATGAAGTATTAAATGTAGGTAAAAAAATAACTAATTACACAATTTGGTTGTAAATCACGAGACGAATCTTTTGAGCCTAGTTAGTCCATGATTGAACAAAGTTTGTTAAACACAAACGAAACATACTACAGTGTCCAGATTATAAAAATTTGCAATCTAAACACGGCCAGAAATTGGTGCGTCACGTGCAGATTTTTTTCCCTTGGAAAGAGACGCCGACAGGCGACAGGTACTGCTGGGTTCATATGCATACGACTTTTTACAGTGGTTTCCTGCTGCTGGCTTAGCTGAGACCTGGGAGTGTTGCAATGCACGCTGCCGCTGCATCACCGTTCGTTTGTTTTACAGTGATTTCCTTCGTTTATTTATCTTGTTCATTCCCTTGAAACCTCTTCGATTCGTCTCGTCTCTTCTTCCATCCATCCAGAACTGGCGATACCTCGATCGATCCCACAACCACAAGATGAGTTCGGGCCTGGACCTAGTACCACCCCCTCGGCATTCCATAATCGCCGTATGTTGAAATCCTTAGTCAGTATCAGTACTAAGGATTAGAGAGGGATTAAAAGCTACCGGCCAGGCGGGCAGAGCCCGGCTTCTAGATCAGGCGCATGCACCAGCAGCACTTTCCCCTGGCACGGTCAGCGAGTCATTTTCACTCCCACTAGTCACTAGAGTTACACGATCCACGACACGACACCTAAGTGCCTAAGTGGAGTGTGCTCGTCATGCACTTTGTTTGCATCTTCTTCAGGAATCAAACGAGCGAGGTGGCTTCAGAGCCAGACGGCCACTACAGCGCCGCTGCTCAATATATTCATTCACCTTGCGGTGCCACCCCTGTCACAGTTTTCTTTACCTACAGCTTGCAGCTTTGCCCAGCTCTGAACACAACACCAGCTAGCTAGACAGCTACGACTTAGGAGTAGTTCGTTTGCAGGGACTCATCAGCCCATGGACATGGAGGGATTACCCACCTCAATCAGGTGCCTCGCGCTTCTCATCTCGGCGTTCTTCAGCCTCCAGAGGATGCCCCAGCCTGCGCACGGCCGTCGTCACGAGGCGGCTGCGGCTGCAAGGGCGAGCAGGATCTACTGGCAGGCCGTCGACCAGATGGTGGCGTGCGCGCTGGTGCTCACCGCCCTCCTCGCCACCTACATCTTCCATTAATAAGGCGTTTAGGTTTCTACGTCGACCATGTTGTGTTTGTACTCCCTCCCTCCCAAATTATATATTATTTTAACTTTTCTAGAGCCTAAGCATCTCGAGTTTGATCAAAATTATAAAGATTATTACAAAGATTTATGGCATTAAATAGTTATACTATGAAAATATAATTAATGAAGAATCTAATGATACTTATTTGATATTATCATCAGTGTTACTATTTTATTATATATAAATTTAGTCAAACTTAAGATGTTTTTACTCTTTAACAAAGTTAGAATAACTTGTAATTTGGGACGAAGGGGAGTAACTATTATGACACAGTTATTATATTAGATATAATCTATCGTAAGTGTACAAGTAAGCTGTAACATTTCCACACCCAAGCATGTATAGATTTTATATATCGAATATAAAAACAAGTTGATAGATATCTATTTAACTATTACTGATTCTATATATTAGGTCAGTTTGGTTTTGTTTTAAATAAAATTTCTTTACTTTTTTATCTAGTTTATAGAAAACTACATCAACGTCTACAATATCATACTCCCTCTGTACTGGTAATTCAAATCGTTTTGGACAGCGACACAGTTTTGAAAGCATAACTTTGACTTCTTTTTTTTATAAAAATATTTATTGAAAAGTGATATATGTATATTTTTATAAAAGTACTTTTCAAAACAAATCTATTCATATAGTTTTCACATTTCGAAACTCAATAACTTTAAAGTTATTCATGATTTATATTCCCAATGTTTGGCTCAAGCGAACATAGGTTCATAAATACACATTCTAAACAACACGCATGATTAGTCAAATGAAACTCAATAACGTAGATGTGTTACTTTTCTTTTTTCTCTCTTAAATCTTGCAACGAACATAGGTTCATAAATACACATTCTAAATAACACGCATGATTAGTCAAATGAAATACATTTGACAAACACTACACATAAATGGTCTCTAGTCATCCATCCAAGTGAGGATAAAAATAGGGAAAAGGTAATACACGACCGTTGCACTTCGGTGCAATGGCACAACTCCGCTCCCGCGCTCCCTCTTCCTCCGGCCCCGCCCGATTGAGCCCGAGCCAGAGACGAAGAAGAAGATGGCGGTAGTTAGGGTTCCAGTAGCAGCGTGGTTAGGATTCTGGTCACCGACGGCCTTAGAAGGAGGATTTGGGGGGAGGCAGCCATGACATGACGATGGTGGTGGGAGAGACGACGTGGGCGCCACCCACCGGGGTGGCGGAAGATGGCGGGCGGGGTTGGTGACGGTGATGTCACGGAAGTGCTTGCCGACCAGCAGTTGTGATTAGGGTGGGCGTGATCGAGAGGCCAGGACCCGGGGCGGGTTGTGGGTGGTGCCGCGACTCGCCGCCGGTCGCCCCGTGGTGGGAGCGAGTGCGGGGACAAGGACGAGGACGTCATCGGCGCGCCACCCTATGGTTAGGGGAGGGCAGGGCGGAGCAGCGGGGGCAGGAGGTGGGTGATGCGGCCGCCGGCTAGCGGGGGAGGCAGGGGTGG